TGCATTATTAATATTAGGGTTCGGAAACAGTGAACTTTGAACTCTTGTTATACTGATTAACTCATAAGCTATTTTTAGGGGTCTTTGGCTTTTATGAGGAGCTAAAAGTTTGAGTGTCATTTTCATGATAACATTAACATTTCTAATATTTGGACATTGTGAGGTATGCTTAGCGCTATTATAAGTTTTTGATGTGATAATTATATCATTTTGCCTTCTAAGCATATGAGCTCTCACTTTCTTGATAGCACACATCTTGACTATTACATAGTTAATATAGTTAGGCAAGTGTTTCTTTTTCTTGAATGTACATTAGCTTGACATGTGAATCTAATAACAAAATAGATGATCTAGATTTCATCTCATTTAGTAATTGAAAGTAGATACGACATGCTAAATAAAAATTAATTTCTTATAACACATATAGTTTTATCATTAAAGATAGAAAAATTGGACTAGAAGCAGATGCATTTACTATAGTCACTTAAGATTTGCATAGTTCAGTAATCTCTTGTGAGCTGTACTTATGAGTAATTTTTGAAAGTAGATAGTACTACGTAAATGTTAAAGTTCAGAAAGAGAAGTGACTTTGCTACTAAGATTTTATGGTTCAAAAAGTCAAAATAAAATAAACACATAAAGAGGAAGAGGCATTGAGATCAATCAATTAATTAATTGGCAAGATCGAGACTTAGTCCCCAAAATTGGGAACTTGATAGTACTACTTAAGCACATTTATGTTTGAAAACTTTTTTACTTATGGTTGAAGACTAATATCGTTTGGTTTAGAGACAATACTTTTTTTAAAATGATGTTTAGTTTTGTGGTTATCGAATTGTTTGACAATGACTAATATTATATTTATATTATAGTAAGTAGTTATTTGCTTTCATTTTTTAATATTATCTTTTATAGTATGAATATTATGGTGTACTAACCTTTAAATTAAACTTGTGACTGCAGGATATTTATAAGTCATCATACAATTTTTTAAAATGCAAGTAACCTACAATGTTCACACATTGTACTGTATGGCTATTGCTCTGGGTATTTTGTGTAGTAAGTTTTCATGGCACGAGTTTACGTTGGTGACTTTTTTACGTTTAGGTTATGATTATTGTCATAATATCTGAGATTAACAACCTGCAATATCTATTGATATTGTACTGGACGGCTAACAATGATGATATTGACCATATTATGAGCCCTCAGCCCTATTCAGTTTGGTTTGCATCAATTTAGGCTATGATGTTTGTTAATTTTTCTGAGATTAGCAACCTACAATATCTATTGATATTGTACTGGATGGCTAACAATGATGATATTGACTAAATTCTGAGCCTTTATTGTAATCAGTTTGACAAATGTGGTTGGCTTTGTGACCATTACAATCTGTTTGTGTTCAGTTTGGTGTGCATATGTTGTTTTTCTTGATTTTTTTTTCTGCTCAGTTATTTGTGGACACATGTTGCCTCTATGTGGTTGGCTGGTTGTGTAGCCTGGTGTTGTTGGTTGGCTATTTTTGGTGATCAAGCTGTTGTGGTTGTGGTTTTGCTAGTTTTGTGTTCGGTTTGGGCACTGGTTGGTCTGCTGGTTTTGTGTTCAGTTTGGTGTACTTGATGTTATGGGTTTGCGGGTTTTGTGTTCGATTTGGGCACTGGTTGGTTTAATGGTTTTGTGTTCAGTTTGGTGTACTTGCTGTTGTGGGTTTGCTGGTTTTGTGTTCAGTTTGGGCACAGGTTGGTTTGATGGTGCGAAGAGAGGTGTTCATGTTGTTCATGAAGGAGTTGTTGAAAGGGGGTTTGAAGTGGTTCGGTTCATCAGTGCCAAGTCTATGCTCATTGTTACAATATGCCTTGCCTTGTGCATGCGTGTCATGGCTGGGACAAGGGTCTTGATGTCAGTTAGTACATGTATGATATCCTCCAACTGGTATTCTAATTGTTTTGTTTGATATATATATATAAGAATTATTCCATGTGATGCTTCAAAATGTGTATAATTTGCTTTTACACATTAGTGCCAAGTTTTAGAAAGTGATAATCAACCATATTCATATTAGCTATTAACTATAACTATAATTAAAAGTCAGCATTGTTGGAGATTGTGATATGAATGCTATTTTGTTACATCTGATTTGAAGCCTGGTTGTGAGTATGCTACCCCTCTCTTCATGTGTTAATTTTTTGTTATATCTGATGTTATTTCACTTGCTTATAATAACACATTGGTGACTTTGTTTGGTTTGCTGGTTGTGAGCTAGGTTGTGAGCCTGTTCAGTTTTTGTTGGTTGGTTATTTTTGGTGGACTTGGTGTTGTTGGTTATTTTGTGTAGCCTGGTTGTGAACGAGGTTGGTTTGCTGGTTCTGTAGCCTGGTTGTGAGCCATGTTGTGGAAGTGTTGTGAGCATGTTCAGGTTTTGTGTAGCCAAGTTGGTTGCCTGGTTGTGTAGCCTGATTGTGAGTCTGGTTGTGAGCGTGGTTGTGAGTATTCTACCCCTCTCTTCCTGTGTTATTTTTGTTACTTCGATCATATGGAATTAAAATTCTTGTTTCACGTTTATTTCTTTTACTTCAATCATATGGTGTTTTTGACTTCTCAGGAACAAGATGGACAAGTTCAAGATAGACATGTTTTTCAGAAAGGGGGATGATAGCTTGACTTCTCAGGTGTTTTTTTAAATCAAAATTTAATCTTTTCAGAATTGTTTAATTGGGTTGATGAGGGATCTTGCTGACAATGTAGTCATCATTTGTTCGAGTTAAGAATATTGATGACACATATTTCTGGTTTGTAGAAACTTGGTTCACTTCTTGTGCAACTTTGGTTATTCTTTGGTCTGTGAAACTATACATATTGATGACATCCTTGTCATTTTGCAGGAAAAGCGTGAGTATTCTTGAACTAGTACCTAATATTTCCATGGAAATCGTATCTTTTGTAGCATTCAAATTAAAAGAACAATTACAGGTTCATTTTGGAGCCAAAGTTTCATCTGAATAGAAATTCAAGGACAATGAAGCTGCTATTGCTTCTTTGCAGGTCCTGCTCTCCCAGCTCAGTTTCATTTGAAACTATGATTATAAGGAATTCACATTGCATTAACTATTGTTTTCTTTTTTTCTGGGTATGTATACTTCGAAGCAGTACCTAGAAAAACAGGTGGGAGAGGTGGAAAACAACCTAAAGGAATTGATACAGCAAGATCCAGCCATTGCCCGCCAGATTATGTCGATGTCTGTGATGTAATTCTCTTTCTTCTCTTGAAGGCAGTGGTCGTTGTTGTTGGTGTCAATTTTCTTTCACAAATCTCTAGTTGGCTGTAATGATTTGTTTTTTGGGGATTTGCATTGCCACTCGTGGACTCTGTTATTTGGGACAACTTCAAATTTGTTTTGATCCTTCTAACTCTCTTTTTATAAATCAAACTGATATGCACACAGAAAAGTTTCGTACGTATTCGATCTCGATTGAGGTGTTTCGAATGTACATCGCCTGTTTTTATTTTTCCAAGCGAAGCCTATTGATGTGTGCTTGTTTTCCTTGTTAGTTTCTGGTCAAGTTGAATGCTTACGTAGTATAGCTCTAAACTTGTCTAAAACTCACACCTAATTTGAGACGTGTTTAGATTTAGATGTTCAAAGTGATGTTGTATAAAATTGGCTTGCATTCAAACGGTAATCAAAGTCAAGTTGGTTTCTGCGAAAACTATGTCGTACGGTCTCACTCTTGATGGTTGGTAATAGTTCATTGGGGATATTATTATTTGTTCATATTAATTCGAACTTTTATATGATTAAGATTATCTCATATAACGAGCACAAATAAAATTTTATATAATGGGGGTAATCTTACCATGGTGATCATAAACATTTTTTCCTACAAAATTCAAAACCAACAAAACACAAAAAAAGTGGGAAATGTCATTTCACTAAAAGTTTTTTGTTTCCATACGAACAAAACACAAGAAAAGTAAATATATTAGTTTCTCATCATTTTTTATATGCGAATAAAAGCTAAACAATCTATTTCTTAAAAAAGCTTAGAAAAAACAAAACTTATGTTTCTTTACGTGACATTACATTTCCCTATATCGAGGAAACGAACCAAACATGCCCTAAGGCACAAAAGAAATCCTCTAAAGCAACGAGATTAGCTCGTAACTGTTTTATTAAAAATCTTCTAAGAGAGCTGACGCGCACTTTCTCTTGACACTGCTTGCAAATTTATTGGTCAGACATCAAGAATCTAAATCACAAACTAAACATCAGCAAGATTTCAAGGAAGGGGTTAATAAAAGAAAAAGAAAAAAAGAGGTAGGGCAGATGCAACCTGCTAATAGAAATAAAGAACAATACAAATTCGCAGAACATGAAAATGGAGAGATGAGATGGAATGAGATACCTGATCATAGTTCTACTAAGCAAAGAGATCATGAACAGAAGAGGAAAAACACTTCAATATCAAAAGACAAGCAACCAACACAAAATTTGTGAAAAGCGCATAGCCTCCCTCGTACGTAAGGAACAAACAACAAACATAAGTTCTCATACAAGACATCTATTCCTCTGTAATAATAGGAGGGTCCAAAACGAGTCATGCTACAGTAAATACGGCAATAAATTACTGTAGCGTTAGCACTGTAACACAGGCTGTAAATTAACTATTCATGCTATGGTAAAATAGCATAGCATTACTACTATAACACAGTCGAAACCAGTAGTGTTTTAAATACATTACTACCAACATTACCATGGTATATTTAAATACAAAATTACTAAAGCAAAAATAAAAAACAAAAACAGTGCAAAAGCACAGGGTGCACATTAGTTAGAAAAAATAACAAAATGAAAACAGTAAGAAGAACGGTTGTAAGACGCAACAAAACCTGTATACTGAAATTCATGTGATCGGAAAAAAAAAGCTATATAGAAAATAGACAGCAGCCGAAGTATAAATTGTAAAAGAAATCAAAGAAAACAAAGGGACAAAACCATCAATGACACAAAACTACTATACTTCAATTAAAATGATCCGAGCTGAGCAGGAGAATAGAAAAGCTAAAACCTCCTACAACAGCCAAGGAAACAAAGTTCAGACTCTTCATAACACCGGACTCAACAAACCATAGGAGAAAATTCAGCAGACACATAAGTTTTTGCTCGACCACCGTCTATCAAGCACCCAGTTCTGGGAACGAGCACCAAATATCAGCAGCAGCAAAGCAGCAGACCAAATCCTACAGCAAAGTCCATAAACTGGCAAACACATAACAAAACGTACTAATAACGAAAATAAGACCTTCGACCCATAAGAACCCATGCTTCATTTCTTCTTGGCTGCCGCCTTGGTGACCTTAGCACCAGTAACAGCAACAGTCTGGCGCATGTCCCTCACAGCGAAACGACCAAGGGGAGGGTACGCAGAGAAAGTCTCCACAACCATGGGCTTGGTCGGAATCATCTTGACGAAACCAGCATCTCCGTTCTTCAAGAACTTGGGCTCCTTCTCAAGCTCCTTACCAGATCGCCTATCAACCTTGGTGAGTATCTCAGAGAACTTGACGGCAATGTGTGAGGTGTGGCAATCGAGGACAGGGGCGTATCCATTTCCAATCTGGCCTGGGTGGTTCATGATAATAACCTGGGAAGTGAAATTAGCAGCCTCTTTAGCGGGATCATCTTTGGAGTTTGAGGCGACGTAACCTCTCTTGAGATCCTTGACAGCAACGTTCTTGACGTTGAAGCCAACATTGTCACCAGGAAGAGCCTCTTGGAGAGCTTCGTGGTGCATCTCAACAGACTTGACTTCAGTGGTCAGACCAGTAGGACCAAAGGTAACAACCATACCAGGCTTGAGGACACCAGTTTCAACACGACCGACGGGGACAGTTCCAATGCCTCCAATCTTGTAGACATCCTGAAGTGGGAGACGAAGGGGCTTGTCAGAGGGACGCTTTGGCTCGTTGACCTGGTCTAGGGCCTCAAGAAGGGTAGGACCCTTGTACCAGTCAAGGTTGGTGGACCGCTCGATCATGTTGTCACCCTCAAAACCGGAGATGGGGACAAAGGGGATTTTGTCAGGGTTGTATCCAACCTTTTTGAGGTATGAGGAGACTTCCTTCACAATTTCATCGTACCTGGCTTTGGAGTACTTGGGGGTGGTAGCATCCATCTGATTATCCACAAAACAAACAAGAAATAAGCAGGGACCATAAACAATTTGTAAAAACATTACAATTTAGTATAAAATACATGACAAGAAAACCATAATTAAAAAGGAATGATGATCCAGCAGGCTCATAAAAGAATAACGTGGAACTAAAAATTACAAATAGATAGCATAAGCATAAAGCATATAATAAAATAAAAATAGAAGCCAATTGAACAATGATACTGTTTATTTTCTGCTGCATTTCATACCAGCATAAGAATCTCTATTGATTTACAAATGCCACAAGTAATATCATGTTATAAAAAGTCTTATATCGTGTTCAAAGAAAGTTGTTAAGCCAACAAAAGGCCAGAACATGATATTCTACAGCAAAACTATTGAATACGTATCTATTATGATGGAATATAGCAGCACCGGTAGCATGAATTTGGCATTATTACAAAAATATATATATCACAATGTCATACATGAGAATCCAACCAAATGCCATACACAAGAATTTTATCATTACTACAAAAAATTATATCATAATGTCATACACGAGAATCTAATCAAATGTCTCAAAAGATAAGACAACCATTTTTTTCTGGCAAAGTAAAACAAGCAGCAAAAATGATTTCTAGTTTGATTTGCCGTATGGGCCATAATAAGATTCACAAACAAATAATGTAAAGAGATGAAGGGGTCATAGCAAAGAGCTAAGAAATGGAATGTATAAGCAGTTTCATAATAGGATAAAACTTGTCGCTAGATATTGCAGTTAAAATATATAGATATCATCGATGAAAACTGTAGAATATACCTTGTTGCAGCAGCAGATCATCTGCTTCACTCCAAGAGTGAAAGCAAGAAGAGCGTGCTCACGGGTCTGACCATCCTTAGAGATACCAGCTTCAAAACCACCAGTGGTGGAATCAATGATCAAAACAGCACAGTCAGCCTGTGAGGTACCAGTAATCATGTTCTTGATAAAGTCACGATGCCCAGGAGCATCAATGACTGTGCAGTAGTACTTGGTAGTCTCAAACTTCCACATGTCAAGCACCCAGGCATACTTGAATGACCTCTTGTTCATCTCAGCAGCTTCCTTCTCAAACCTCTCAATCACACGCTTGTCAATACCACCCAACTTGTAGATAAGATGACCAGTGGTCGTCGACTTCCCAGAGTCGACGTGGCCAATGACCACAATGTTGATATGAACCTTTTCTTTACCCATAGTGTTAGCTGCAGAAAAGAAGAAAAAGATAAATACTATGTATGATTACAATAGTTAATTAACAGATTCTGAAACTAAGAACACCCTTGAAATGTAACAACAAAATCACCTCACATAGCAGAAAATGCCATACTTTTCAATTAAGCACTAAAAAAGTAATCAGAAAATTAAACTGAAAATATAAGGTAATAATATTTAAGAAACCAACTAGGACTTTTTACAAATAAAACAAGATAACCTATACTATATAAGATTGGGATCATCTCCACTATCAAAAAGATAAGAGATCACTACTTTTGTCATCATTGCAAATGTCAAATGAACGGTAGTGACTTGGTTTAAATATAGCATTCACCGTACCCCCAAAGAATTGGATTCATTACTAATTTACAATAAAAAAACCAATTCATAATCATGCACTAAAGAAATCAAGGGTTGTGAAAAAAGTAGTGGCCTCTCCCAACTTTCTAGTAGGGGAGAGGAACAAACCAACTTATTACACTATAAGAAGAAAGTAGCAAGGGTATGAAAATTTTCAATTAATCAAGGACCTGTAACATTTTAAACCCAGTTTCTTAAAAATAATATAAAGAGTTTAGTAAAAGAAAAGAATAAAAAAGTTGAACAAGTTGAATAAGATATATGTAAATGATAGGTGAAATACCATGCGACCTTATAGTGAGCAAAGATAGATACTGGAAATTAGGAAACAAGGCATGTTATCGAGTACAACCTAGCAAGTTCAAATACTAAATTAAGGACAAAAATTAAGAAAATAATATCATTATGAAACAGCTAACTCATAGGGTATATTTGTAGAGGAACTACACATGATTTATACAAGAGTAGAAAATTGAAATGTTAACAAGTTAATAAATTCTAACCCATATAAATTGAGAGTATATAATTCACAAATATCAAATGTCAATAAAAACATTAAGATATTAGTGAACGTTTAGGTGCCAGTTTAGGGAGACAATGTCTCTAATATATTACAAGAACCATCATAGTGAACTAGAACATAAATTTCACAAACAATTTGAAACATATATTAAACCCTACAAAAAAATGAAAGATTATATGAATCTTAGGAGAACATAAAAGTATACTTAATATAATAAAGGAAATAATTGCAGTTGCTAATATAGAAATATACAGTAACGCTCCAAAAAATGTTAGTAAAGATTATATGAGTCCTATGGGAATATAAGAAATTACTTAATGAAGGAAACAAGTGCAGCTGATAATTATAGATATATACAATAATGTTCAAAACTTATATTAAAGGTCTGTAAACAGGAAATGAAACGGTTGATACAAATGGAATGATTAAACGGCGTCCAATAGGAATTGAACCTATATTAAAGGTTTTTTTAACCTCTGTCTTTTCCGTTGGACGATGAACGCTTGCATTCCAATTACATTATTCATTAATTAACTTAGTTCATATGCAATGATAAATAATGGAATTATATCTGAAATCAAACACAAATCTATTATAAACTGAAATAATCATGATAAAGAATAAAGTAATGAAATCAGTAGCGCTACTTTCGTCATAATCGCTGATCGAACTGTTCATGAGTTTAATCCTTGAACAGTCAATACTAAACTTAGATCTGACAGCAGTTAGATCTATTCATACATTTAAACGCACAAAAAAGCCAGTAACCCTACACTGACGACTCAAATCCTAAAGAAATGAGATCGATCTAAGGCTAATCTACTACTAAACAACGATATTAACCTAAAACTGATTACAGATCTATAAAATCAACAGAAGAACATTGACAGAAACATTTCAGGGAGTTCTACGTGAATCAACCAATTACTAATTGAATCGATCATCAACAATACCATCAAGGATACAAGAAACCCTAACTAAAGACAAAAGGGGCAAAAAAAAAGGAGAAAAACCTCACCTTTGAGAAATTGCCGGCTCTCTGTAGAGGATAGCTCGCAGGAGAATTTCGGCCTAGAGAATGGAGAGAGGGGGGTTTCGCCCTCTCCTCTCCCTTATAAAGACGTCTTCTCTCCTAGGGTTTCTCCCTCCGCCGTTGGATTATCCAATCCGACGGTCTTTATTCCTTCTCTCCATCCACCGGTTGATGCGTTTTTCTCGTTTCAGATCACGACACGTCATCGTTTAGGTTTTTTTAGCCGGCTCCTCCGCTTTCCGTCCTAGGGTGGGCCCACTTTAGTGGAGAGTGCGGGTATTATTGGGTGCGATTTCTTTGGTGTGTCACAGGATTTTTTTTTGGGCGTTAATTAAATGGATTAGATCGCGATTAGGGGAGGCGTTAGCTTTATTTAAATGGCGTTCTCAGCGAAGTGATAAATTTGATGGTTAGGATTTGTCCGCCGTCGTTGACATCGGATTGGTTTGCTAGGGTTTGTAGGGTCCAGATCTGAGTCGGCGTCCACTTGCACTTCCTTCAGAGTCTCTAGCTAGGCCCAATGGGCCTCAGGGATTGCGAAGGCAACTTTTAGGTACGCTTTTCTTTCTTTTTTTTCCCTTTTTTTAAATTTAAACTTTCTCTTTTGCTTTTTATTAGTTCGGTAAAAATGAAAAAGTAATTTGATAGTATTTTATTAGGCAATGTATTGCCTTCAGTAGACGGGATTACTGTGTACTCGACATGATTATGGCATTAATTTGTTAGGATAAGATAATAGCGACATGTGATTTGAGCTTTCCAAGCAAGCAAGATTGTACGGTTGCTTGTTTTTTATATCATGGCGAGAAATTAATCTACGCACGTCTGCACTGTGAAAGATTTAGGGAATTAATTATCCGAACAAAATGGTGATTTCATCGGATGCGAACACTATGATGCCACGAACACGTATGTGTCCATGACTGTGGATGCCGTGAGGTCACAATATTGTTATCCTATTCCAACAGACAAATAGAAAAAAAGCTGACTAATTATTTGCAACCTCTTTAGATCTTTTCCCCCTTCGGATGACATATAGGGGCTGTTTGGTTCGTTTCCTTGATATAGAGAAATGCAATTCCATGTAAAGAAACACAAGTTTTGAGTTTTCCAAACTTTTTCAAGAAATAGATTGTTTTGCTTTGGTTCGCACATAAAAAATGGTGGGAAACCAATGTATTTATTTTTCTTGTGTTTGGTTCGCATAGAAAAAAAGGAAAACTTTCGTAAACAAAGCAGAGAAGGAAAAAAATCCGACGTGACAGAGTTTTCATCAATTTTACTTGGTTGGGGAAGAAAATCGGAGAGGGAAAAAAATCTTAGTTGGCGGCGATTTCGGCAGAGTTTTCCCTCTTCCATTCGAGCGAACCAAAGCGGCACAAAGAAATGGACGGAAATAAAAAAGCTGACGTGGATGGCTAAAAATCTGACGTGGATGGGTTTTCTGAGTTTTCCACCCCTTATAATAGCGAACCAAACAGCCCCATAAAATCCTCTTATCTTCTCGCGGATGGTAAGATGATTCTTTGGCGTTCTTGATTGGTCGCAATAAGTAGGATTTTTCTCAGTATTTATATGGAAGGCCCAAGTTTTTGGCAAATCTTATATTCAAAAAGTTTTTTTTTCCCTTTGCTTTGTGTATACAATCGTTAGAAGATTTTGTTGCACAGAGTGCATGCATGACGCGTAATTATGAAAGTGGCTTATTTGAATTGTTAAAGCCCTGTTTAGATACCATGGTGTTTTACTTGTTTTCATGGTATTTTTACCAAAAATAAAACACCATGCGTTTGAAAACCATGGTGTTTTTTGAGCTAAATCATCCTCAAACTAAAAACACAACACTTATTTCAAAACACCGTTTAGGTGTTTAAATTTGATGTTTTGATTTTGAGTTTGAGAATGTGTTAATATAATATCTAACATAATATATTAAATGTAATTAATATAGAGTTATTATCAACATGCTTATTATATTGTACTATACTATACTATATTATAGTTAATTTAATATATTAATATTTATTAAATAATTTAAAAATATAATAAATAAAATATATTATATAATAATATAATACATATTAAATATCAAGATTTAATATGTTAATAATGTATTGTATGATAATCAAAAAATAATAAATTATAAATAAACTAATAAAAAATTAATAAAAGTTATTGATAAAAATAATAATATAATAATGACATAATAATATGCTATACAATAGTATAATTGCTATAACATTATTAACTTTTTAATAAAAAATTATAATAAAATAATAATTATAAAATATTATATAATAGTAACATATTTAATAATTACATAACAATATAATAATAATATTATGATAACTTATTGTATAGTATAATATTATATTATATGAATAATAGTATAATATTATATTATATTAATCATAGTACAATATTATATTAACAATAAAATAACAATAATATAAAAATATTAATATAATATACAATAATAACAAATTGATATACTAAAATAATTAAATATGTAGTTATTTGAAAATAACATGTAATAATTACAATATAATATAACTCATTAAAGTACAACATAATATTATAGTATACATTATATAATATTATATTGTATTACATTTAATACTGATAATATTATAATAATGTAAACTAAATATTATAACATTTTATTTATAATATATTTTATTATAATTAATATATAATATATTAATAATATTTTTAATATTAATGTTATAATGGGTCAAACTAGTGTTGACCAAACCACTTAACATGGTGCTTTGAAAATATTTTAAGGGAAAAACACAACATCATGGTGTTTTTTTATAAAAACACAATAAGAAAAACACCATGATATCCAAACGAAACCTTAGAGAACAAATCATTTGATTGTTTTTCGCGTAATTATGAGAGTGGCTTATTTGAATTGTTAAGAGAACAAATCATTTGATTGTTTTTTTGTTTTTGACCCCCCCCCCCCCTCCCTTCAAGTGTGGGTATTACCATCTATATATCTATATACTATTACTAAAAACTCTTACTCTTCAAAACGCCACTTGGCAAAAATGACACATGGCAAAAAATAACACATACCCTTGAAAACGCCACATGGCATCAATTTCGGTTCCCAACATTATTCATTATCTTGAAAATAACAATATTTTTCCATTATTTAATCTATTACTATCTTTTACTATCAATTTTGGTTCCCTATATAATTTTGCGAAAAGATAACTTGTATCTAATCTCTAGCTCCTCTCTCTCCCTCCCACAAAACTCTGAGTTCAACCTTCTCATCTTCCCAAAGCAATTGTCTGCTTTTTCCAACGCATCATCATCATCATCATCATCATCATATGTTCAATTGATCATATTCAATTCCCAAAGCATCATCAAAGCTTCTCTCCCTCATGGAGTCCCCTCATGGAGTCCAGAGCCTTTTTCCTCAAACCCTCCTTCTCCTCCTCCTCCAAAATTTCCCAAGAGAAGTCGACGAAGTGCGGCCGAAGGCGCTGCATCTACTTCAATGGAAACTGTGATGACAGCTCCGACGATGAATTCGTCGGCGATTCCCCTCCAATCGCCGTCGCTGGATCCGGCGACGCGCTGGAGATCATTAAGGTAGTAGTTTTGATCTTGTAAGATATTTGATGAAGTTTTCTTTTTTGTCAAAATTTAGATAGTTTTGTTCCTAATTTGTAGGGCTTAGTTCCGTGCGAGAGCCTATCAGAGCGCAATCTGTTGGCGGACGCATCAAAGATCGTGGAAACTAATAAAACCAAGATCGAAAAGAGTAAAGATGTTTGCATCAAGTTCGTAACTGAAAATTTGTAGTCTTTAGGTTATGATGCCTCCATTTGCAAGTCTAAATGGGATAAAACCCCTTTTGATTCCAGCTGGTGCGTTTATTTCAGAAAAAAATCCCTCCTTTCTTATTGTTATCTCGGCTACTTAGGTCTCGGTTATGCTGTTTTTTGCGATTCATAATATAGAAGTCTTGCATATATTGTTTGCGTCAAAAGTTGGTTTTGTCATGGAATTTATTATATCTTCGGTCGATTACAACAAATTCAAAAAAGAGATAGCCTTTTTATAAGATTCCTTTTACACAACAAAAGAAAAAATTACAACTCTTGAGAAACAAACGTAGGATCGTTGTTTGGATCGCTGCTTACGTGGGATCTTTGCCTGTGCCGGGAGCGCTTTGACTCGTGGACCACCAAATCACAGATTCTGATTGAATCGTGAGGGGTTTAATGATTCTACCTTCGTTTATCGAAGTGAGAATTTGAAACGATATCTTATCAAAGTAAGATAGTCGTTCTTCTTGAAATCAAGTCAAAGCTCGAATCTCAAGGGATTGACAGAAGCCCAAGAACTCTGCTCTCTCTCTGCTTTGGATTGCTCCCACAAGTGCTCTTTGATCCGCTCTTCTTGAAATCACGATCTCAAGGGGGTATTTATAGCCCCTAGGATAAACTGCACTTCCGAGACAGTGTTTGCTGTCTCGGCGGCCGAGACAGCAAAGACTCGGGTTTCGAGACAGTAAAGACTGTCTCGGCCCGCGAGATAATAAACACTGTCTCGGAAACAGTAATTGTCTGGCAGTTTTCTTGTAACTGCCTTTCCACGTTTTACAACTCCGTTATTTTGACAGTTATCAACGTGATTCTCGCCCATGACGTTCCCCATGTTCTTTGGCAGTTAATGGACGTGTGTGGCAGTTGTTCAAGGTGGTTTCTGACCATTTCAAAACTGTCTCGCACGGCGAGACAGTAAACACTGTCTCGCGTGCGAGACAGTAAAGACTGTCTCACACGGCGAGACAGTAAAGGCTGTATTCTCTTTGATTTTTTGGATGACTTCCTTTTGAGCTGTATTTGGATATCTTTCAGCATTTTTTGACGCCTACATATATGACTTCATTTCTCTGGTTGAAAAGATGCACTCACAAAGTTTTTCGATGATGGTTGTAGTATCATGAATCTAATTGGAGTTTTGAAGTTCAAGAAGATGGGGGAGGATTTTGTTCGCAATTTTGGCCTTCCTTATACCATTATCAAGTCTGTTACTTATTACTAATATATTAATGCTTAGATAAATTTCTTCACCTATATGAACTTGTAGAATGGTAAAAAAAATTTGGCTGAA